AGGGTGTGGCAGGGGCCAGCAAGAGGGGGAGGCTGGTGGTGGGGCCAGGCCTGGATGGGGCTATTGGAGGGGGGCCAGAAATCCATCTGATCTAGCAAAATCCATCATCTGGGACCAGTCAGGTCCCTAGGGTGCTGGACCAGGGAGGTCCAACCTGTAATATTGTAACACAATCATAAAACAGTTGCCTACAGTTCTGATTGTCTGCCCAATCTCAAAAAAAAAGTGTTAAAATGGAAAAGGTACAGAGAAGGGCAGCAAAAATAACAAAAGGTATGGAACAGCTTCTATAGGAGGAGAGATTAAAAAGACTGGGAACATTCAGCTTGGAAAAGTGATAACTAAGGGGGGAGATTAAGTTACAGGTCTATAAATTCATAACTGTTATAGAGAAAGTGAACAAGGAAGCATTATTTACCCTTTCCTATAACAAACAAACTGTGGGTCATCTAATGAAATTATCAGGTAGCAGGTTTAATGCAAACAGAAGGAATTACTTTACACAACACACAGTTAGTATGTAGAACTCATTGCCCAGGGATGCTGTGAAGGTCAAAGCTAGGTTCAAAGTAGAATTAGATAAATCCATGGAGATTCAGTCCATCAGTGGCTATTAGCCAAGATGGGTAGGGATATCACCCAATACTCTGGTTGTCCCTAAGCCTCTGACTGCCAGATGCTGGGACTGGATGACAAGGGATGGATCTTTTCATAAATTGACTTGTTCTGTTCATTTCCTTTGAAGCATCTGGCACTGACCACACATCAGAAGACAGGATTCTGGGCTACATGGACCATTGGTCTGACTCAGTACGACCACCCTTTGGTTCTTAATTCTGTTCTAATTGAAGCAACATCCCTGGGTCACCTTGGCCTGTCCAGTCATGAAGGGTAATCTGACTTTCTAGTAGCACATTAGCTTTAATTACAGTATTCAACATTACAGTACATAAACCATCCTGTATCATAAAGCAGCTGTTCTAATGCATTATCATTCATGGCTGTTATTCTAGACTGTATCCCTCTGACTTATATGCTAATGAATTCTTAGCTTCAAATACATGCATCCTTCACTGATCCCTTAAGAAAAAAAGAACCTAACTCTCATACAGCACTTTTCATCAGTAGCTCTCAAAGCACTTCGCAAAGAAGGTCAGTGTCATCATCTCCATTTTGTAGATAGGAAAACTGAGGCACTGGGCTGGATGTGACTTGCTCCAGGTCTCCCACCAGCTGGGAGCAGAATCCAGGTCTCCTGAGCCTCGGTCCAGTGCACTGATACTGTCTCTACAGACACACACACACACACACACACTGCTGAAATTACTACTGGAGGACCATGAATTCTCTCACTTATACAGGAATCGCCTCCAGTGAAAATGGAAATTGCATGATGCACAAAGTTCAAGCTCTGTAATGTGTATCATCATGAACAGGTATCATGTGGCTACATTCACATTCGTGGCACTCCCTCAAGCTCCTGCACTCATATTCTTTGAGTAATTTTAACACTGGGAATTTTGCTGTCCAAAGACTGGATCAGAGCCATTAATCTAGTGCAAAGTGTAAGTTATCACTAAAAGCTCTTGGATAGGGTGGGCACATGTGTGTGGGTACTGAGCATAGGCTAGGAGTTAGGTAGCCCAGGTTCTTTTACTGCCTTTGCCAGAAATTTGTGCCATAATACATTGTGCTGATAGTGTATACAGTAGCACTTCAAACATTATTTAGCTCTCTCACAAACTTATATGTTAGATATATGCTGGAACTGCCTCTTTATTCCCTATGGCAATGTGGTTTCCTGGGGCACAAGGAAAGAGCAGTTCCTGTGCTCAAGAAGTATTGGGACTACAACTGCACACCCTTTCTGCTTGAGGCAAATGGGATGAAGGAGGGATGCTGTTTCTCTTCTCCTGCAGCAGCCAGACACATACTTGCCCTAAATGGTCAGAGTTAACAGGGTCGCCAACCCCAAGGGTTCAGAAGTCATGCATCAGGCTCCTAAAGTCATGAGATTTCTTTTTTTTAACCTCATTTTAAAGAGGAACAATAATTTGCCTCCTGGAGCTTGGGCTTTTATAAGTCACATTTACAAGCTTTTCTCTGCAATCGTATAGTCTCTAGAAACTCAATTTTCTTTCTAAACGAAAGCAGAAGTTCTTACCTTCTCCTTTAATTTTTGGAAGTAGTTGTATTGTTGAACATGTATAGTACCCAAGCACAAATAATTTCCAAAGCACAGACCAGAGCTCTTTGGTAAAGATTTCTTATCTGCCCACTCAGAAGCAGCAGTAGGGATACTTCAAATCCTCCTGCCATTTTAGGAAGCAGTTCCTATAGGCACTGGCATAGGAGCAAGAAAGAGAGATAAGAGACAAAATTTTAGCCTCACAACTTTGAACAGGGAGACTATCAGGAGCCTCCAGAAAGGGGAAGAACCCCTATGACCGTGGATACATCTACACTGAGGAGTTATTTTGAGATACTGGAAGTATTCCAAAATAGATATTCCATATCTTTTGAGCAAGCCCGTTATTTCGCAATATAACGGGTATGCTATTCCGACGTCCCTGTAAACCTCGTTCCATGAGGACTAAGGGATATTTTGGAATAGCATTCTATTTTGAAATTTGGCACTGTCTGCACAGCACCAAATTTTGAAATAAGCTATTTTGAAATTAGCTCAAAATAAGCTAAGCCATTTGTGTTGATCAAATTGTGTGTCTTATTTTGAGATTAGGGTGCAGTGTGGACACACTGCAAAGATTTTTCTAACTTGTGATTCTGAGACATGGTCAGCCTGTGGGATCAGGCCAAAGAGGAGGAAGTGGGAGCAGGGTAGGGACATGGCTGACACATGCCATTCATCCCATGTGCTAAATGATCCATGTAATTAAGGATAGATTCATAATGTATATACACAAAGGGGCTGAATTAAGGTTGTATGATAAATCCTTAAGGCATTTCAGGTACTTGACTTTGCCCTCTAAGTAACACTCTTTTAAAATATTGGTTTTTTTCATATGTTATATATACAAATCCCTTCCCCTCTCGTTTCAAAGGGGACTAGTGATTTTGATTATCTCAAGATGATGGCCAGTTACAAATCATGTGCTGAGGCCCCATTTGTTATGCTGGCCAGGGCAGTCTCATTGTTCCCTTGTGCTTTCCTGTCAGTCTGTTCCATCCATCAGCTGTATCGTTTTATACTTAACTGTTCTGGACAGGGACCATCTTTTGTTCTTTGTTTGTACGGCACCTAGTACAATGGGGTCTTAATCCATGGCTGGGGCTCCCAGACACTACCACAAAACAAACAAATAATAATAAGAGTCAATGGAGATTAAAATTGAAAGCACTTCTTACAAAGTCATGGGTCTGATATCCTTGATACACTTTGGCTAGTCTATGGCACCATGGCCATACAAATCAGCAGTACACTTTATTTTATGTAAAATTAAACTGAGTTTATGGTGCAGTGCAAAGCAGCCAAAGCACAATGGAGGAACGGCCAGATGGTGCAGATATCCATTAGACTGAGACTTGAGGATTAACCAGGATGGGAACAAATTCACAGGTCAGCAGAAAAAAACGCAGAAAGGACAGTGTGGCTTCATTCGACCTTCTGGGAACACTATGCCTTGCTCCGTGAGTGTAGGAATGCTGCTATTTCCCTTGCTACAAAGCCGTGTGATACGTCATGGTTGCCTGTAAGCCAATTACACATGACAGCTTGTACAGTGGGCTGAAAGGCTTTAGTATTAGTGCAAAATAAAAGTAATAATAATGTGGGGCTTACATGATTGCCAATAACAATGGGCCAAACTCTAAAGTTCTTGTTCAGGCTGGATTGTCCCACCTCATGGAGAACCCAAGGAAAGGGACTGGGGGCAAGAAAAATTCTTGGGGCTTCACTTGCTGAGTTTCCTATGAAACTTTATTTCATTTAGTTGTGGGGTGCAGGAGGAGAAGAGTCCCACAGCTCAGGCTTCAGACTGAGCCTAGATGTCTACACAACAATTTTATAGCCCCACAGCCTGAGTCAGCTGATATGGGCTAGCTGGTATTTTATTGCAGTCTAGCCGTATACTTGAGACCAGGGAAGATGGCTCATCAAGGAAGGACTAGCAGTAAATTGCCAAAGCAGGGAACCCCTGAGACACCAGGTGAGTTGGGCTGTGGAAAGCTCATGGGAGGATTTTTGTTTCATTTTGATCTTTACGTTAATAACCCAGACCCTAAGGAGATCTGAGGTTATTGGGTTTGTAAAAGTCTCTGGCTACGTCTACACTGGCCCCTTTTCCGGAAGGGGCATGTAAATTTCACTAGTCGTCGTAGGGAAATCCGCGGGGGATTTAAATATCCCCCGCGGCATTTAAATAAAAATGTCCGCCGCCTACTTTGAAGTAGGAATAAGAGCCTCCGGAAAAGGGCACTTTTTCCGGAGGATCGGGGCCAGTCTAGACGCTCTTTTCCGGCTTTTTTAAAAGCCGGAAAAAAGCGGCGGACATTTTTATTTAAATGCCGCGGGGGATATTTAAATCCCCCGCGGATTTCCCTACGACGACGAGTGAAATTTACATGCCCCTTCCGGAAAAGGGGCCAGTGTAGACGTAGCCTTACAGAAATCCCCCGCGGATTTCCCTACGACGACTAGTGAAATTTACATGCCCCTTCCGGAAAAGGGGCCAGTGTAGACGTAGCCTCTTAGTTTATTGAAGATTAATGATGGGAAATGGAGGTGAGGGGTTGCTTGCAAGGCAGTTCAGTGTCCACATACTGTACCAGGTCTGGTGTTCTAGTTAGTCACATGACCCTGTTCTAACTCTGTGATAGCTATTTAGTTAACTAGTAAGTGTGCAGTTAGCCACTGGTAACACGCAGCTCTGATGCATCTCAGAATTGGGGCTAGTGTCTGGTAGTTATTTTATGTGAAAGAAATACTGGTAACAGTATATACACAGCAGCCTGAAATATGTTCCTCTTACTAATTTCTGATCACTAGGCTCCAGGGCAGTTATTGTAGCACTCAGAAGATTCAGAGAAGAATTCAAAAGGTTAATTAAAAAACTAAGACATGAAACTTATGAGAACTGGAGGAATGAGGATGAAGGAGAGACTGACCGTCTTAAAAGGATATTAACTCAAGTATATAGCAATCCCAGTAGCTAACTTCTCCCTAAGTTATTCTTTTCATTTAATCATAGATAAGCATAAATGGGAATAAAGCAAAAAGAAATCCAGGACAGTGTCAAGAAGCACTTTATTACACAAGCTGTAATTGAAGTGTGAAATGACCTGGAAGTCAAAGTCACCAAAGGCAAAAACATTAGTGTAATTAAAAAAAAACACTTAGATACTTTACAAGAAGAAATGATGAATTAATTTTGGCACAAAATGCTAGGTCTCTGTTCACCACAATATGTATTTATGCATGTTATCATCACTTTAGGTTTAACCACTCTAAACTCTACCACAAAATGAAGGGAGGTGGAACCGACTTCTAGACTGCAACTTGCAATTACATTGAAAATGATAAAATCCACTTACTGGAATCAGAGTCATTCATTTCTCATCCCTAATATACATGATTAGACTGTCTTGCATGACATACCCATACAAAATGTAAAGTGAAATATGAAGCAACTCTTACAGTCTTTCATGGGCTACATGGACCTTAGAAGTGTCCACCATTCTTACTCCTAGTGGAATTCTGCACCTAAAAATTCCTCACACCATTTTTTAAATTTCTCCAAATTTCTGCAAATTTTATTTGTCAAAATAACACTACATACTCATGCCAGTTTTGAGTTTTTTTGGTAAGTTCTTTCAAAATAACAGTCAGCAAGTATGTCTGTAACTATACAGAGACACACAAACATTTCCCTAGTAGTAAAGAGTTATAAAAACCCCTATGATAACTAATGTTCCCTCTAATCTTTTCCATCCATATGTGGATTTTTCCCCATCCATGTGTGGAATATTTTTTTAATGTTCACCAAGGCATCTGTGAATGTACATCACCAGTAGAAACAAAACCTAGCTGTGGGTGCTCTGCTAATAAGCTGGAAGGCATTTGAATTGCTCCTTAGCAGCTGCAGAAGTGCACAGCTTACATGGGACACTGATGACAATCCTGTTCGTATTGTAACTCTGTGCTGAAGTACGTAGCTGAGCTTTATTCCTTATACCCGGCTTGTAAGAATGGGATGCTGCAAGCAGTTTCAGCATGGGCCCTTTCAGACTTCTGGGGGGAGGGGGGAGAAAAAGTGCATGCTCACCAGGATTCTCCTAAATTGAAGCATTGTGGATCATTAATTTTTATTTGTATTGTGGTAGCCCCTAGAATTCCCAGTCAGGGACCTGGCCCCCCATTATATTAGGCATTGAACATATGTCAAAAAAGATTCTCCGTATCAAAGAGTTTACAAACTAAATAATATAGAATTTATTGATGAACAGCAAGTTAAATACTGAACTATGATTCATACCAAAATGTAAATGCCTCCTTACAATGCATTTCTTCCAGGTATCCTACAGACTTTATTTCCTCCTTGACAGCAGCCTTAACAAAATAAAAATAAATTTTTATTGAAAGAAAATCATTAAACTAAACATACTAAAATTCATTACACACTTTGCAGTGTGTTGCATTCCATTTCCACACCTTCATCAACACATGATCTCTTATTGCCCCCAAAAAGGCCAATTGGCACTTGGACACCAGTGCCACTCACTTCAGGAAGAAAAACTGACAACTCACTTTTAATTTCCCCCAAATGAAAGATGGTAAACATGCCACCATTTCAATATTCTCTAACAGAACACAAATGATTACGCAGTAACGTCTTGGTTTGCAGGAAGGCCATATTAGTTTTTAATAATACCTAGCCTACGGGCCACATCAGATCTATATCTCTATGGCTAACTAATCTAAAGAATGTGATGCAGCTCCGCAATGAAGGGCAATAAAAAGACCTTTAATCCCAAACTGCAGTAAATAGAGCACCGGACTCTCAGGAATCCCAGGCTCTATTCCAAATTCTCCCACAGGACTGCTGGAAGGCCTTGGGCAAGTCACTGCATCTCTGTGCCTCAGTTTCCCCATCTGTAAAATTTGGATAATGATACTAAACTCCTTTGTAAAGAGCTTTGAAATTAATGGATGGAAAGCACAACAGGAGAGCTAGGTATTATTATATTAGCATTGTATTTATGCTTGCCTCTGCAGTCACACCTAGTAAGTAGGCACTGTTTGGTAAACAGCAAATGCTATGGTGAGGTCTGTGATGTGGAATATATGCACAAGGAACTATTCTGAGACCTTATACTTTATGGCTCTGTAAACCTGTCAGATGATAAATATATTTAGTCACTAGCATCTTGGAGTGGATTTGAGCTGATAACATTTTCAATACAATTTCAGGTGAAAGACTTGGTTAAAAATTATTTTGCTAGTTACATAAGGGTTAAGGTTCATGGATCATTCAACAGCAGCAGTCAATGACTGGGGAGAGGGGAATGTTTGCCCACAAAAGCAGTTCCATTGGCCCCACCCTCTTCCCCCTGAAGCTACTGGACTTGATTTTGCAACCCTTACTCTAACAAAAAGTAGCCCTTAACCACATTAGTAATTTTTACTGAAGACTCAGTGATTTCAACTGGCTTACTATCCAGAGTAAGGCATATTTTCATTACTAAGAGTTGTTGGATAAGACCACAGGGAGTTCCATTCGCTGTACCGAGACAATTCATATAAGTAAAAGAGGCAAAATTTGATCCCAAAATGTTGCAAGAGACCTAATAAATCTATTCTTAATATGCTGCTAAAGCAAACATTATAAAATATTTTGCTTTAACTGTCTTTAAAAAAAAACATTTTTAGCCAAGATTAAAGAGCACAGACAAGACCAAACTGTGTAAATGGATTTAAAAGTGCCTTACGGGCAAACAACTCTAATTGCTAAAAGGCTAGGAAAGGTCTCCATAGCTTTGTATTTTGTCTGTTTATTTACTTTTCGTGTTAAGAGTTCAAACATTAACTATCAGGGTTAAACAATTTTAATTGCAGGGCTATCTACAGAAGCAGTTTCTCATGAGAAATGTTTCACAGTAGGCACTTGTTAATTGTTCTTTTTTATCTTATCTGACAAAATAAGTTGTCATTGTAAGAGATCAAATAGTTCATTTTTCTCAGGAAAGACTGTAGATTCCAACACAGACTGAAAACCTAATTGTAAACTGGAGATTTGGCAATAGTAAAAGGACCTCTATTATATAAAAGAACCAAATATCACTGGAA